TCCCTCCCTCCTCCTCCTCCTCCCACTCGACGCGTGTTTCATGGCATGCAGGCACATAGGTACGAATACTTTTTTATAATATGTAATTTTCATGAATGAGGAGTATACAAACATATGTACATACGTATAAGGAGTGGGAGTGAGCGAGAGTATAACCAGCACGCAGAGCACTGATTACGTGTTTTTTTTAATTACTTCAATTGTTTTTTTCTTTTGTTCCTCTTTTCTTTAAATTTTCTTTTTTACTTTTCTACTTGTGTATGGCGAGTGAGAGGGGGGGAGAGAAGTCAAAAAAGTGGCGGGTGAAAGCAGCAGGTTGTAATAATGTTCCCATATCACTGATTTATTCGTGGTTTGTGCTTCCTTCCTCTTCGCATGTGCGTGTTTTGGGCGGTTCTTTACACACCAAATGTATTGCAATAGGGTGAGGGTGTGAGTTGCGTGACGGACAAAGAGAAAGGGGAGGAGAAAAAAAGGAAAAAAAACTGAGAGAGAAACCGATGCAACGGGCCTCGCGCACGCTGTGGCTGCTCAGCGGCATCAACTCCGGGCGTCTTCGTCTCGCCGAGCAGTTCGCGACCATGCAGGGATGGCAGGCGGGCGAAGACACCGCCTTCGATGCGTACGTCAAGGAGAAGCGGCAGAAGGAGCGCTACGAGGCGTTTGATCAACGTGTTGAGCGGGGATACGCGGCTGCGGCGAAGCTGCACAAGGCGGAGGTCCAGAATGCTGTGAAGCGGCGTCTAAAGGCCACGGGAGCGAAGTTTACTGCCGCAACACTGCGAGAGATGAAAGTCGCCCTGGAAGAGCGTATGGTCTGGCTTCGTGAGGTGTGGACACAGATTGATGCGGACTACCGTAGCGGCGACACTGCTCGACAGGAGACCGCCGCGCGTGAGATATCCGCCGCTCTGATGGGTGAGCCGAGCGACTACATGCAGTGGGTGTATGAAAAGAAGCGAGAACTTCGATTTGCAGGACCCATAAAACGTGCTGAAATGCAAAGTGAGCTGCAGAGCGCGGAGCTGCCGGATGTCTCGGATGAGGAGGTGAATCGCTACCACGCTTTGAGACTTAACATGATGGAGGTGGAGCAAAATGTCAAGGCCAAGTACGGCTTGGCGGGCCAACAGCACTGGGCCGAGTTGCAGGCAGAGAAAGATGATGAGTACTTGAAAAAGCTGGATGATGCTGCAGAGGTCTACAAACAACTACTTGATCAGAACGCACGCCTGGATGAATCGAAGCGAACAGAGCTGCAACGAAGTCACGTGGAACGTTTGCATCAGGCCCAGGTGCGGTTTAAGGCCGCTATGGAGATGGAGAAAGAGCGGGAAAAGTTGATAGAGGCTTACAAGACAATGAAGGAGGAGAGAGAGTTGAAAGAAAAAGAGCAGCGCCGCGTTCTCCTGCAGGAGGCGGCTGAAATGCGAGCAAAGGGCAAGACCAATGCCGAAGTGATTGCTGCCTTAAAGGAAAGGCAGCTTGAGATCAACGCACAACGTCAGGCGGAGTATGAGTTGAAGGAACGTGAAGAGGCCTTGCAGCGTAAGTCACGATTGGTAGACATGATAGCGCAGTTTAAACATGATGTAGAGGAGCGTGAGGGTCGGGAGTTGCTTCAACAGCAGAAGCGCACGGCAGATCGACCTCTAAATGTTTTCGGATTTAGCGATGATGACGCTGTAGATGGAGCAGAGCTGTCTGTGCATGGCGTGGAGGATGCGGAGTCGGCGCTTTTGGTACACTCCGCGAAGGAGTCGAACATGACAAGAGGAGACAGCGGCAGCAACAGTCGTAGTATTGCACGCCCATTACCACACCCGCAGAAGAATGCACTATGGACCGCCATTAACGAAGATACGTACGAAGATCCGTTCCACGCCGTTCACCAGGCCCGTCTCGATGCGGCAAAAACGTACGACCCCTCGTATGCCCGTACCTTTCCCTTGAACCTTGTCTTGGGACGCAAATACAGCCGACAGGGGGCGGGTGAAATGGCGGTGGGTAACGAGACAGACCGACAGATTCTGCAGAAGGGTAATGCAGTGGCGATGAGCTTCCAGTGGGGAATTGGTAGTAATACTGTACATGATCTGGATGCAGAGGGGAGCACGGACTACTTCATGGATGGCAACTTTCATGTGCGTGACAAAAACACTGGGGACATTGACTGGCGCTATGAAAAGAAGAAGGGTGGAGCCATATTTAAGGGACCCAAGTTCTACCGCCTCGGGGCGCAGCGTGAGGCAATGGACCCTGGCGAGCGGTCAATGGATCCCATGCCCTACACGAAGCTGCCGCGTGAACATAAGTGGCGCAGTAGCTAGATATATCGCTATCTCTCTCTCTCTCTCCCTCTCTCTCTCTCCCTTCCTCCCTCTTGAGACCTGCATGCCTACTTTTCTTTCTTTATGTGTATGGATTTACATTGCGCTGTGGATCAAAAAAATGAGGAAAATCAAAAACCCGAGCATGTTGCATGAACTTTTCTGTCGTTGTTGTTTATTTCGTTCTTTCCTTCTTTCTTTGTTGTTGTGTTGCCTTGGTTTATTTCCTAGAAAAGCTAGGGTACATACGAACTCTCACACACAGTCGCCTTGAAGTATAATTACTTTGGCTGCTGCGCTTGCTGATTGTGTTTGTGTGTGTGTGTGTTGTGATTACGCTTTGTTTGTTTTTGTTTTTTGTTTTTTTGCTGGGGGAGGGGGGTAAAATTTAAGAACCCGAAGAGGGAAAAAGCAAAGAGAGTACAGCTTGCTCTCATTTTGTGTGTGTGTATGTGCATGTGTGTGTTTGTGTTTGTGTGCAGGCAAGCAAGTAAATAGAAAAGGACAGAGCACAGGTAAATTAAAATATATATAAGGGTATTAATAATATTACGGCGAGCTTGGGAGAAAATCAGAGGTGCTGACGTGCGGCGGCAGCGGTGGTGGTGGGGACGAGGCTACATTTAAAAGAGGGGGCGCATGCCGAGGGCACAAACTCAGAGGGAGTCTAGTAGCATGTTGGTCACGGCGCGGGATCTCACGGAGAAAGGTGGGTTTGCCACAACAACGCTGGAGGTTAGCATTAACACGCAGGACCCGCTTGACGTTGACCTTTCTATCAGCATCCCTCTGCTGCGACGTAATTTGTTGCTCTTTACTGTACTCAAGACGATTGGGTCTTTTGATTCGGGGGCATTTAGTGCGGCGCTTGGGGCGGAAAACGGCATTGCAGAGGAGTGGGGTCTGGGCACGGTGCGACAGGGAACGCTCACTTCTAGTGTCTTTCTCGGCAACATCCTTGGGTGCCCACTCTCAGGTCATCTTTTTTCACACCACAACGCAAAACAAGTGTTGGTGGGCTCGCTTATATTGCACACAGTATTTACTTTTCTCTTTGCAACACTGACAAATTACGAGTTTGCCCTGTTTTGTCGGTTTTTCATTGGTATCACCTTGTCGACTGTCATTGTATATGTGCCTGTGTGGGTGGACATATTTGCCCCGCGTGATCGTCAGTCGGTTTGGATGGCCTCACATAATGCTGGAGTGCCCCTTGGCATTATGCTTGGTTACACTTGTGGCGCGTTTCTTCCATCGTACACCAATGTCAATTGGGAGTGGGCATTTTATATCAAATGTATTCTCACAATACCGGCCGTGGCTTATTTAATGCGCGTGGACTCCCGCTCCATTGCTCGGCCCAGCCGAAATAGATCGGAATCTGCACCAAACGTTGCTGCATTTGCTGCAGCGGACATGAGTGCGGCTGAGCGGGTCTTGAATTTTCTTCATTCGAACATGCGATTGATGTGGAGTTCCTGCATCCCTCTATTTTGTAATACAGAATATATGTGTAGTACACTTGCCATGTGTTCCTTGTACTTTGTGGTGACTGGACTGCAGAACTTTGTGACGCAGTACCTTCGTGAGGAGCCATTTAATGCGTCCATGAAAACAATCATGTTAGGGTTTGGTGGTGCTGTTGTAACTGCTCCTGTTATTGGTGTCATTGTGGGTGGTATCCTGCTTGATCGCATCGGTGGCTACCAAAGAAATCTACGACGTGTGACTACCTTCGTTTGTGTGTGGGGCGCTGCTGCCGCTTTTTTTAGTGTCATCTGTATTTTCGTCACTGATACGATGACGTTTTTGTTTGTTATCTCTATTGTGCTGTTTTGTGGCGGTGCCATTGTTCCTCCGGGAAGCGGGACAGTGGTAACGTCTGTGCCTGAGCTTCTCCGCCCCGCCGCTGCTGCCTTCTCGCAGATGATGTACAACCTTCTGGGTAACTTTAGTGGCCCTATGGTGTGCGGATACGTGGCCCAGTGGACGGGGCAGCTAAAATACGGCATCTACACGGTTCTTTCATGCAGTGCGGTGGGTCTCATCCCGATGTTGGTGCTACTGCGCAAGGTATTGAGCACGCCAGAAGCGCCAACGCCGTTGTTGGCGCTCGCGCGTAGCCGACAGCGCTACCCGCAGACGACAGCTGTGAAGGATGCGCGGTCGTTGTCAGCTGAAGTGAGCTACATGGATATGATGAGGCATGAGTCGTCACGCATGGAACAGTCGGATGATGATGCCCTGCTGCTTGATGAGGAGGCCGTCAAACAGAGGACTAGCAGCGTCAATGTCACCCCGAATGTTAATGCTTTCGTTACGACATCGGTGGCGGTGGCGCAGACGCAAGCGTTTTCTCAGCCAAAAAAAAATATGCGGCAAGCTACAAAGCACGCGGAGGCGCCTGTTCTGGTGGTGCACAATGGGGTTGGCGCATCAAAAGACAAAGAACAAGAAAAACAACGGGAACCGTCGCTGTCATCGGTCGGGTTTGTGACGGGTAGAACGCCGGAGGTTATCCATATAAATGGTGAAGCCGAGGAGCAGGAGTGGGTGCACAGGCAACGCAGCTGCGGGGGAATTGCAGCGACAAATGGGAGTGTTGAGTCCACCTTGCATAGAAGTGAGGCGATGGAAGGTGGCATGGATGGGGGCGATGAGTTTGACTTGATGATGGAGGCTGACGCCGCGCAGATGATGTCATTTCCAAATCGTCACAGCTTTGGGCTTGATATTTTGCGCTCGTTTCTGAGCAGCGCATCGCATCGGCACTCGTCGTCACGGAGCAGCAGCTCTAATCCCTCGATGGCAGTCACAGAGGAATTGAAGGAGGTTAATGTGGGTAGTCTTATTGATGAGCGCTGCAGTTCGGGTGGCAGCAGTGCGATTAGTCCAAGCCACACACCGGCCGCGTTGGCGAAAGGTTCACCGCGGTAACTGCATGTGTGAAACTGAGCCGAGGTGGCGAACTGTGAGACATGAAAAGAGGGAGGGAGGAAAGGAGGGAGTGGCGTACATGAAATTCAAAGTGTCTTTGCATTTTTGTGAATAGCAGCGGTCATTTAAACGAGGGTGGAGTGATAAGAGAGATGAGAACAAGATTTGTGTCTGTTCTTGGGCAGGACGTGTGATGTGACGGTTGAACTGCCTCACCAGTTTTCTTTCCTTCCTTTTTTGCTCTTGTGTTTGTGTGTTTGTCTTTGGTCTTACGTGTAATATTTCTTCGTGGCTTTTTGCTCTTGTTGTGTGCGCGTCACGTGGGTTTTCTCAGAATCCTCCCCCGTGGGTGCCACACACTGGGGAACAGCCGTTATGACGGGGAAAAGGAGGGAAATGAACTAAGTAGTAAAAAGACTATGTAAACAAACGTGTGTTTTCTTTTCTTTTTCCCTAATCGTGTTGTTCTACGTATTACCAGTTGTTGTTGTGTTGTTGTTTTTTTTATTGTTTTCGTCGTTGTCTCTCTCTCTCTCTCTCTCTCTCTCTTTCCTTTTCTCTGTTTTCGTTCCGTTTTACCTTCTCTGCCGTATTGCTACGTGGTCGTCTATGCATATATATATATATATATATATATATATAT